TATGTGTTTGAGGCCAGCCTGAACTCCAGGCATGGTTCAGTGTTCCTGCCTGGGCCCTGGGTGGTGCTGATGAGGTTGGACCCCTGTAAGCCTGTGTCTTTTTCTTACCTCCTTCCCCTTCTGCACAGTCTACTTGGTGATTTGACCCTCTGTTTTCTTTGTTCTGCGTACTCACAGCTCCCCAAGTCAGCCTCAACATCCACACCTGGGATCCATCTCCACCCACCTCACCACCCCCTTGGGTTCCACAGCACCCCAAATTTAACACACTTAAGATCATATTTATTCTCTCCCTTCCCCTCTCTTTCTTTCTGTCTTTCTCCCCCTTCCCTCTCCCTTCCCTCCCCTATTTCAGGGCCTCACACATCCTAGACAACTGAACTATATCCTTCCCTAACCCACTTAAATTTTTTTTGAGACAGGTTCTCAATGAGTTACTCAAGCTAGCCTGTAACCCTACCTTGACTTGCAATCTTGTACTCCGGGCTCTGAAGTAGCTGGGATTACAGGTATGCACCACTAAGCCTAGCTTCTTCATCTTTCCCTGAGTACTCAGTAGCCAAATCCTTCAGACCCTACTTCCTCATTATCTCAATGTCCCAGCCCATTTCCTTTGATTGTAACCTCATATGGGACTTTCTCATCCTAAGCTTTTGCGATAGGAAGGTTGCATTAACAGCTTCACTCTAGACACTTGGTCTATGTTTTTGTTTATTTCAAACTCCAGTTGTTGAAATATCAGAACAATTACTCAAAAATGCTGAATTTGGCTGCTTGTGGTAGCAACATGCCTTTGATCCCAGCACTCTGGGAGTTAGAGGCAGGTAAATTTCTATGGGTTCGAAATCAACCTGGTCTACATAGTGAATTCCATGCCAGTCACAGCTATATAATGAGACTTTCTCTCAAAATAATAATAATAATAATAATAATAATAATAATAATAATAATAATGTTATTTTGTGCCATGACCTATTTTTTGTTTATCTATCTATCTATCTATCTATCCATCCATCCATCTATCTATCATTTATCTATTTATCATCATCTATCTATCATCCATTCATCTATCCATCTATTTTGCGGCACTGAGCATTGAGCTCAGTGCCTGCCCATGTTGAGCAAGTACTTTACCCCCGAGTTACATCCATCCCTAGCATGTTCCCTAGTGTTGACATCAGTATTGCTGGCTGAGTCAGCCTCTCCTTGTGCTGTGTCAAGGCCTATATGGCTAGCTCTTGCCTGGGTTTCTAGTATATCACAATGTGTCTCATCACCATAGGAACATGTGGAAAAACTTTGCAAACTGTCATGTCAATGTCACAGAGGCTGCAGAGGAACTGCGGGTGCCTTTGCCTCTCATGCATCTGCCCACCCCTTGCCCTGGAATGCTTTTCTCTTCTCTCACATTCTGGCAGGAATGATTTTCCTTCTGGTCTCTTATGTCAGGTTCTTTTCTTACTGCTGTGATAAAATACCTAATGCAAGCAACGTAAGGAAGGAAAGCAGGGTTTGTTTTGGTTCAGCCTGAGGGGACAGCCCATTATGTGGGGAAGTTATAACCTCAGGAGTGAGGGCAGCTGGCTGTGGTGTACATGGAGTCAAGAAGCAGATGGGAACATTGATGTTCAGCCCTTTCCTCCTCCTTATTCGGGGCAGGACCCCAGCATCATGCATGATGCCAGAGCCATACTTAGAGTGTCTTCTTATTTCAGTTATTTCAACCTGGAAACTCCCTTATGGAAGGATCTAGAGGTCTGTTTCCATGGTGATTCTAAGTCTCAAGTTGAAGTTCTGTGCCCCTTTATTCCCCCAGTCTCATAAAATCTCCTAAAGTCTTGACACATTCTTGTCCCACAGTTCAGGGAATCAAAGCCAGGACCTCAGGCATGCCAGGCAAGTGTCCTCCCCCTGAGCATCACCCTTGGCACATTCTCATGTAAACAAATAGCATCTGCAGTCAATCCTTGGTCCTTTTGCTCCTAAAGTCAGGAACATGCCTGATAGAGTCTGGTTCCCATTGTCGTGACAAAATGAGACCGTGTAAAAGGAAGATTTACTGGTCTCAGTTCATGGTCCCTCAGCTCCATCCTCTGAGTCCATGGCAAGGCAGAGCATGGCAGGGAGTGTGTGGTACCACAGAGTGGCTGAGAGGGAGGGGAGGGTGGCAATGAGTTTGTCAGGTCATTATGTCTTCCAACTCACCCTACCTTCTAATGTCCCTACGGCCTCCCAAGAGCACCATCAGCGGGGTCCAAGCCTTCCACACATGGGCTTTCAGGGGACATTTCAAGATAGTGAGGAATCCATTTCAAGACCTCTGCAAATGCCTAAAGCAACAGACAGTACACACACACACACACACACACACACACACACACACACACACACACACATTATGGCAGTTAATTCCCCTGAGAACATCAACATCCTGAGGTGTGTATCACCCAGGTAAACCCTGGAGTTCAGGATGGGCCTATCAGTAGGATTTCTAGTGGTGAGCATGAGCACCAGGACCTCCAGACTCTTTGGCTTTGCAGGGACAGTTTGGCTACTAACACGGCCCTGCCATTTTGGTGATGATGTCTTTTTTAAATTTTTTTTTACTTTATGTGTGAGTGTTTTTCCTACATGTATGACTGTGGACCATGTGTGTGCTTGGTGCCCATGAATGCCAGGAGAGGGCGTCAAATCCCCTGGAACTGGAGTTATAGATAATTGTGAGCCACTGTGTGGGTTCTGGGAATTGAGCGCAGGTCCTTTAGAAGAGTAGCTGCTGCTATTATTGCTTGAGCCTTCCCTCCACCCCAAGGATCTTTGATCTCCTTTTTCAAAGCATCATCCACATATTTCTGGGCATTGGAGATGGGCTATTGGAGAGCATGAAACTGGACCACATGACTATCACCCTTCATGTGAACCTGGATGTCCACACCAGCAAACTGTTCTTTGTCCAGGGACAGATGGGCTCTAGCAGCTTGTTATTTCCACATGTGTGGTTCCATCACCACTAGGGGATGCCTGTTCATCTTGATGAAGCTGTTCCCCATTTGCATTGTGCCATGGTTGTGCTGTCTTCTTTTGTCTGAAGACCTGCACTGACTTGGATGGCCTGGCTCTGAGTACAGACCTAAGCTCCCTGGCATATGTTGCTGACATTGGCAATTTAATGTTAATTGTCAACATAACTGGATTTAGAATCTCCATGGAAACACACTGCTGGGTGTATCTGTGAGGGTGTTCCAGGAAGGTTTAATCAGGAGGGACAACCTGCTCTAAGTATGAGCAGCACTAGCCTGTAGGCTGGTGTCCTAGATTGAATAAAAGGGAGAAAGACCTTCCTGGTGTCTCAGAGGAAGACATGGGGTCTGAGAGCCAATAGAAGATTCGGCCCATTACAGTGCTCTACCAGCACTGTCATGTGACCAGTGGCCTCCTGCTCCTGCCACCATGCCTTCCCCACCATGATAGACTGTCTCCCCCCCAAACCCTAAACCAAGAGAAACCCTTCTTCCTTAAGCCATTGCACGCCAGCTGTGTGACCACAGCAACAAGAAAGGGAACAAACACACACTTGTATATGTGTGCACATGAGCCGTGAAAGGAACTAATACACACTTGTATCTGCACATACACAATGCAAGGAACTAATTCTCATATCTGTGTGCACATACACAGTTCATTTCCATACATAAAGCAAAGCTTATTCAGTAATGGTAGTAAGACAGAACTCCTTAGTAACACACTATTATAAATGTTAAGAGAGGGGCCAGCAAGATGGCTCAGCATGTCAAAATGTGTGCTGGGGAAGCTTGCAACCTGTTTGGTTCCTGGAACCCAAGGTGAAAAGAGAGAACAAACCCATGAAAGGTGTCCTTTGATCTCCACATATGTGTCATAGCATGTTCTCACACACGTGCACACATGCACACACACACATGCTAGCTCATGTAAACCAACACAGGTGCCTGCATGTTCTCTCTCTCTCTCTCTCTCACACACACACACACATGCTAGCTCATGTGAACCAACACAGGTGCATGCATGTTCTCTCTCTCTCACACACACACACACACGCACACACACACATGCTAGCTCATGTAAACCAACACAGGTGCATGCATGTTCTCTCTCTCTCTCTCTCTCTCTCTCTCTCTCTCTCTCACACACACACACACTAGCTCATGTCAATCACTTTCCCCTTTCTTCCCTAAGCCACAGTTCTCACCTTTGCTCTTATAGGAAGCCTTTTAAAACTTGACCTTTGGTGTTTCCAAGTCTCCTCCTCTCCTTTTGCCCTTTGGGGCCATTCTTAGTTACAAGGGTCATCAGGACACAGGCATGCACTTCAGTGACAGTCTAACCCATAAGTAGCTCAGTGACTCTACATGGGCAGATGACGAGTATGGTGTGAGACACTGGACAAACAAGTCACACCTCGGGCAGACGGAGTGAGGTAAGGTGAGTTCTTACAGGAGGCTCAGAATGGTGCAAAACTCAAAACTTGTCATGTTGGGTGTGGTGGCCCACATTTGTAGCCTCAGTACTCAGAAAAGTGAGGCAGGAAGTTCACAAAATTCAAGGCCAGCCTGGGCTACATAGTGAGACCATATGTGCCTTCTTCAAGCCCTGTGTTCAGTTCCCAGCACCAAACGAATCAGGCGCAATGGTGTTTACCAGCAATCCTGGCACTATGGTTGCTGAGGCCTGAGGATCACAGAGAATTCCAGGCTAGTCTGCGCTGCAGAGTGAGACCCTGTTTCAACTCCTCTTGCAAAGCCTTGGGTTCAGTGCCCAGCACGGAATAAATAAGTATGACGGTACTTGCCTGTGACCCCAGCACTAGGGAGGTGAAGGATGGCTGATTTAGAAGTTCAAGTTCATCCTCAGATACAAAGTGAGTTCGAGGTCAGCCTGGGATACATGAGATCCTGTCTCTTCCCCCACCCCAGACAGCACAACAAAATACGCCCTACCCCACCCCCCCTTATTGTGTTTCTGGAATTTTCTACTGGATATATGCAGGGTGAAGTTGGTTCCAAGTGCTGACCTAAAATGAGAGGTCCGCTGGGATTTGTAGCCCCATGTTCAGTGCGATTCAGCCCGGTTATGGGGTTCTGCAGCCAGGCGGCGCTGCCCTGAGGAGCCAGACAGCCACCTCCTGGAGCCGAACCTTCCACCAGGAGGCGGAGGTCTCCTGGGCTGCCTTCCCGGCCCAGCTGACCTCAGAGGCAAGTCTTCAAGAGGTGGCTGGCCCCGGGTCTCTCCTCAGCGACTGATGATGTCAAACTCTACGCTTCAGTGATTGGTTTAGCCGAAATGAGACAGGCGGCTATTGGAGATGCTTTGTGGAACCGTGATGTGGATCTGGGAGGAAGCTGGGCACCCTGGACTCGGTGGTAGCTCCCATTTACTGAGGGTGTGAAGGTATGGACCATGAGCAGAAGCCAGGAGCCTGCTGGCACCTGCTGCAGCTTCTGTGGCTGCTGCCCTACTCCTGGGCGGTGCCCGAAGGTAAGACACTGGCTCCCCTCTGCGTGCCTCACGAACTCAGTGAAGAGGGGAGGGGCTCTATGGCAGTGGACCTGTAACTGACTTGGGGGAGAGGGGTGCTGTTCACAGATGGCAAGCAACCCAGGTATTTCACACGTTCCATCTGTGTGCTGGCGACTTTTCAGATGAAGAAAGTAGATTGGCTGGCTTAGGAGACCTGTGCAAATTCACAACGTAGGGAAACGACAGAAGGGTGAGAGCCAAGTGTGGTGGTGCAGGACTGTAATCCCAGCACTTAGAAAAGCGTGGGCGGGGTGATCCAGAGTCCAAGGCCAGCCTCACCTGCATAGCAAGACCCAGTTTCAGACATCTGCACAGAGATTTACACTCCCCCAGTCAGTATCCTAAGCTAGTCTGTCGTTCTTGACATGCCTCTTAGTTTCTTCTCAGATACAGTTGGGGCAGGATGTATGATGGGAGATGTCATTCTGTATATGCTTCTCATACTAGTTAATACAGAGTCTCTCTGTGTTAATTGGGGTTGGCGCGGCGGCGGGACAAGAGCAGGCATCGGGCGGAAAAACCTTACTCCTTACAGATGTAAGCAGTTCTGGGTGTTCGTTAAAAAAGATTCCCTCTGTCCTGGGGATCCCTGTCAGGAGTTTCAAAGATTGTTTCTTCCCTGCGGTCAGTTCAGGTCATCCCTCCCCCCCCCCTTCTGTCAGTGCACGGTCTGGAGTGTTTAGTCAGGGAATAGGCCATCAGAGAGGCCAGGTGACACTGAAGTGGCCGAGGAGGTCCAGTCCAGAGACTGCCTTACTTTATTTACACTTGTGACCCAGTGGTCTAGGGACACATCATTAAGGAGGTCATGGTCCTTCCCCACACCCCTCAAGGAAGGCGTCACACCCATGGCTTCTGAATTAGATGAAGGCATCCACTACGCTGGGGTCCTGGGCTTGGTAGGAGTTCAGGTTCACTACGAGCACCCTGGGTGTGGGGGATTTGGGGGGATGGGAGGTGGGTGGTGAGGCTGGTGCCCTTGAGCAGGTGCAGGGAAGTAATAGCAGAAGTCTGTTGCTTCCTTCTGAAGATGTTTGCTTTCTTTTTTGCTTGATTTTCTGAGGCAGTCTCGTGCACCCCAGGCTGGCTATATGTAGCTGAGGCTGAGTTTGGACCCTAGATGCCCCTCCCTTCTCCTGCAAAGTGCTGGCATCACAGATGTGTGTTACCATGCCTGGCTCTGCTCTTTCCAGGCATAGACAGTTGGTTTTTATGTGTAAGATTTGGAAAGATTCCTTCATTTTTTCTCCCTCTGCTCCACTGGGAGGAGGAATCCAAGAAGCAGGTGCATGAGGGAGGAGGCCATATCTCTGCTGCACCCCCAAAATGGGGACCTTACTGTTTTCCACCTTAAAGAGAAATTCCCTGAACTCAACTGTGTTATTGCAGCCCCTGCTCCAGTGCTGTGGGATGAGCTGCAAAACCACACATTTCGGCACACTGTGTTCTGCCAGGATGGGAATCCCAGCATAGGGCTCTCCGAGTCCTACGACGAAGATCAGCTCTTCTCCTACGACTTCTCCCAGAACACCAGAGTACCCCGGCTGCCTGACTTTGCTGACTGGGCTCAGCAACAGGGAGACACCTCTGCCATTTTATTTGACAAAGACTTCTGCAAAATATTGACCCAGGAAATCGGTCCGCAGTTGGAAGGGCTAATCCCAGTGTCCAGAGGTCAGGGACAAAGAGTGGAGTTGGGGGGGAGCACTGCAGTCTTAGTCCCCAAAACTTCTCCTTGACATCATCTCTCATCTTTGACACTTCCTTGTTCTGCTTGGGGTTTTTCTTTTCTGCTTCAACACTCCTCTCCATCAGCTACAGTCTGTGTGCTGTGTCTGCTGTGGGAAGGAGGCAGTCGAAGGCATTGAAAATCTACTGAACTTTAATGAAGTTATGGGGACCAGTTGGCCCCACGGAATGAGTGCCAGCATTCTCTTTACTGTACCAGCAAAATGGAGGGGAGAATGGGGGAATCCAAGGGTGAGTTTGCACTTCACAAGAAGCCAGTGTCAGATGCTAACCTGGCTACAGACAGGAAGTCAGACAGAGGAGTCCACAGTGTCCTAGTTGCATTTCCTGCCTGGAATCTCTTCTTGGAGCCCCAGATGTCCTCACCTCTGTTCTCCCCCTCCATGTGTCTCAACTCTCTCCAGACAGTGGCATTGTCCAAACATCTGCCCTCTTTTTTGGCACCTGTCCCCCACCAGGTTTGCCTGTGCCTGAGGTGTACACCCTGAAGCCCCTGGAGTTTGGCAAGCCCAACACGCTGGTCTGTTTCATCAGCAATCTCTTTCCGCCGACCTTGACTGTGACCTGGAAGCATCACTTTGTCCCCGTGGAGGGGGCCAGCCCCACGTACATCTCAGCCATCGATGGACTCACCTTCCAGGCTTTCTCTTACTTAAACTTCACACCGGAACCCTTTGACCTTTACTCCTGTGTCGTGACACATGAGATTGACAGCTACACACCAATTGCCCACTGGGGTGAGGCCCTTTCCTCTGGAAGTCAGGTCCTTTGGGGGTAGAAAGGCTCAAGCCCACGGGAGGGGCCCTCTTGTTTAGTCTCACTCCAGCCAAGTTCAAGCTTCCCTGATTCAATTTTCCCTTGTTATTTCCAAGTCCCCCTGGGTGGAGTGCCCCCCCCCTCAGCCTGGCCTCCAGGCTGACCTCACTCTTTCTGCTCTAGTACCCCAGAATGCCCTCCCTTCAGATCTCCTAGAAAATGTGTTGTGTGGTTTGGCCTTCGGCCTAGGCCTTCTGGGCATCATCATGGGCATTGCCTTCTTCATATGGTCCAAGAAGCCTTGTTCAGTTGGTAAGTAATTTGGGAAAGTGAGGGAACCAGGCACAAGAATGCCAATATGGGTGTGCCAGGACTCTTCTGGTTTGGGGAGCATACAGTGATACACAAGCCCTTGGGTATGAAGGCCTGTGTACAGCATGACAAGGCTATATCCTGCTATCTGGGGACCCTGTTACACAGTTATCGGGGACCCCAGAAATAGCTTGAGTATGGGGTGAGGTGAACTGGGGACCTGTAAGAAAGATGCCTGGAAGGGCAGAGGGCAAATACGAAGGGATGGGGATGCTTGATGTGAAAGGCACAAAGAATAAATAGAAAGGAGGAAAAAAAGATGCCTGGAGATGACCTGAGAGCAAGGTCTCAGCTGGGTGTGCTGTGGGGTGGGGAGGAAGAGGGCCTCCTGGTGACATTCCCTCACCCTGCTTTCTCCTCAGACTGATTCTTCTGACCAGAGCTTGGAACAGCACAGGCCTTGCCAGCAGGGATGCCCAGGGTCCCTGTGCCTACCCAGGGACTCTCATTGGAGCAGAAGACCCTGGGACAGCTCAGGCTGTGTGTCAGTGTGCAGGTGTCTCACTTGGGGGCTCTGCTGTCCCTGAAGTTGCATCCAGAAGAGTCCAGATCAGGAGCCCAGGGCGCCACTTCTTACCACCTCATACCTTCCCACTCTGAAGAAATAAATCTCATTTCTTAACATTAATTTGACCTCTCCCTTCCACACTAGGCAAGCATTCTGCCACCAAGCTGTACCCCATTTCACTATGCCTTCTTTACTTGTAGGTTTTGATTCTGGACTCCTGACTCATTTCACAGTCGGCATACCTTAACCTGGAGGGAAAGCCACTCTCCCAACCAAACTCCAGTACCCTGATCTCAGCGGAGTTGATGGTGGCTTTTTATCTCATCAGCTTGTGTAAAATACATAAGAGGAAGGTAGAGAGCGTTTCCAATAATCAATAAAATGGTTGAGGAAATTTGGTGTTTGGTCCCACTCCTTCCCTCCATGCTGCGTTACCAGTGAAGTTTCTTCCTTGATGAACATCTAACTCCCTTCAGCCCTCAGGGTACCTGGGACAATGGGAGTTCAAGGATAGAATGCTCCGCCTCTAGCTGCTCTCTGATTGGCCAGTTCAGTACAGACATCATCTTTGAGCCCCCTAAAGAGAAGTGGGAACAGCCAGCAAGGGCAGAGGGCAGAGGTCAGAGAAGCAAGTGGTCTTCCAAGCAGGTGTTCAGTGGCCTCATGAACTCTCCTTGGACAACCGTGGGGCCCTGTCCAGGCAGATGGTGGGAGCCCGTGGCACACGTCCACTACTGATAAACTGCCTCACACACACTTTATTCTTTACTTTCTGTGGGATGTGGGAGTTGCTGTGGAGGCAGCTGAGGCTAACTCATGAAATTAGCAAGGCCATCTCTGTTTCTAAGGGAAACCATCCAGTTCTTCCCAGGTGTTGGCTCTTCCGCTGGACCTCATCTTGCTAGACAGCATGCTCTGAGCATTGCTCCCTTGCTCCTGAGGCTGGAATTACTAGTGGACCGCCATGTCTCTGTGGCTTTTCCGTGGGCTCTGGGGACCAGAACTCTGGTCCTTGTACTGTGCAGCAAGAGCTTTAGCTGCCAGCCCTTGTTCATTCTTTTGTTTTTATCCCCATTTTACCTTTGTGGATCTGGACTGCATTGCTTCCTGGTTTCTGTTCTACTTCAAATGTATCCAGCAGTTTCCTGCCAATCAAAGCTTAAAACTGATTTTATTAGTTATTATTATTATTATTATTATTATTATTATTATTATTAGTGTGTGTGTGTGTGTGCAAGAGAGAGGGCCTCACTGTATGGCTCTGGCTAACATAGAACTTACCACATAGACCAGGCTGACTGAAGGGGAAAGGGAGGGGGCTAAATGAGTTCTCCAGATCCAAGATAAATGAAAATGAAAATAGGACTTACATAGATAAGAGTAAATAACCACCGAGGTGTTCCTGTTGCAGGAGATGCAGTCTCTGCTCTTCCGATGCTCTCCGAAATCCAAGTGAGCATGTGCCCCTTCCTCCTCTACCTGAAGGGGTCACATCTGCCCTGAAACCATGCCCAAAGGGTGTGGCATGACTGCAAGTTCACTGACAAGGCAAGGTGCCACTATAGCTGGCCTCCAACTCACAGGAGATCTACCATTTCTGCCTCCGGGAGAGCTGGGATTAAAGACTGGCACTTTACCAGATTTTTACCTGCTGTATCTAACTCTAGCTAACTCCTCTCCCAGCCTCAAGTGACAGGCTAGGACTGCATGCTTGCTCATTGGTCCCCAGCTGGCCTCGAACTTGCTGTGTAGCTGAAATGACCCTCCACTCCCACCCCGCCTGCATCCCCCTGCTGCTGGGATTGCAAGGGGTACCACCCTGCTTGCCTCTCTCATCAGTCATTCTTGCATCCATGTACAGGCCTGGCTGACCCTGCTTCCAGATCAAATGGGGTTGAGTGCATCAGGATGAAGGGATGTGGACTCGGATAGAGCACTCCAGGATATGTTGCTTAACCTAGAAGCATTAAGGGCTGTCCTCAGCCTGCGCTTCCTCTTCCTTTGAGTTGAAATCCCATGTAGATCAGCCTGGCCCTGAACTCCCTATGTAGCTGAGGATAGATAACTTTGAATTCTTGGCTCTGCTGCTCCTCCCCCAAGTGCTGGGATTGCCCCCATCTGATCCTCCAGCTCCTACTCTATCTTTCATCAAATTTACAAGGGTAGGCTTTCCAGGGTGATGATTTGATAATGATTTTTGACCAACAAATTTGCAATTTTCAGTTCAGAGGCCAGAGATTGGTTATTGGAGCAAGATGGCTGTCCCTTTGTCCCCACCAACACCTGGAGTCACTGGTAATGAGGTGGGTGCTGGTAGAATCTCACAGTATTGGCTTTTCTTGTATTCATCGTGAGGCTGAATCCCTTTTCATGGTTCCTTTCTCTTTTAATAACTACTTCAGACATTTTTGTCAAGTTTGATCCTTTTTGAGACAATTTCATGTAGCTGGGATGATCCACCGATGCCGGCACTTGCCTGGGATTTCCAGATTCTGTCACCATGCCACACCATTTTGTCAGTTTTAAAACTGTATTTTCAGCTTTTCCTTGTGACTCCTGGGGACATGTTATTCTATGCAGTAACTTGGGATGGAGCAAGTACTGAAAATGCTTCTGCAGGGCATGGTGGCAAACACCTGTAATCAATCCCAGCTCCCGGAGGCTGCCCCCCCCAAAAAAAAAAGCTTTCCAGTTGGCTGTTGACCAGTAAAATCTGCATACAATTGACTTCTTGGCTCCCTGAGCAGAATTGTTTAGTTTTGGCTGTCAGAGCCCTGTGATCTGGTCCCCTGCTCTTGGTTTTATATAGTAAATGATTGACTGGTTCAGCATATTGTTTTTCTGTCATAAAATGAGGTCTTGAATTGAAACCATCTGTCAGAAGAGGAAGCTGAGAACCTGCATGGAGAGAATTTACAAACTGCCTAGAAGAGATTCCTATGGTTAAGGCCACACCCCAGGGAAAGCGTAAGCCGCATCTGTGACTTCATGTCCTTCTCCAGTATTAATACTGGTACCTACTTCTGTTTCAAACAGCCTGTTCCCTTGCACACTCCCAACAGCACCTTCTAATCCTACCAGGCTTGGGAGCTAAGTGATGCCCAGCCTGGATGCCAGTGCCTTCCCTTCCATGTGAATCTAGCCTGTTAGCCAAGGTGTGCCCCCCCCCCCCCGCACCTTCACCCAGGGCGCCTTGCCCTCCTTGCCCCTGGTGAGCTCTCTCCTGGCCTTCCTGCTAACTGGCTTTGACATCAGGGTTTCTCCTACTTCCTACCTAGCCCCAGATGGGATGGTTTGGGGCCTGAGAACTGTGGCGATATAAAGCTTGCCTGAAGATCAGGATGCAAAGCCAGCCACACTAGTTCGCCATAGAAGCTGAGCAGGGTGGCATACTCAGGAGACAGAGGCAGATGGATCTCTGTGAGTTCAAGGCCACACTGGGCTACACAAGAGTGAATCAGTCTAAAAGAGAAACAGAGCTCACACCTTTGATCCCAGCACTAGAAAGAATATAAGCTCAGTGCAATCTCAGGAGCAGTCAGATTTGGTGAGGAGCAGTGCAGCCTGGAGATGCAATCTGAAGACAGGATCACTCCTTCCATCTGAGCATTGGGAGAGGTGAGAGCTCTCTAGTGGCTGGCCATTTTGCTTCTCTGATCTTCAGCTTGAACCCCAACATCTGTGTCTGGGGTTTAATTACTCATGTTACAGAGAACCCATCTTTCCCAGCTATGGCAAATGATTTTCTATAATACTTTGCAAATAAGCCCCAGTTACCCCCTGCAGGCATGTGGGAACCAGGCTAGGTGGTGTGTGTGTGTGTGTGTGTGTGTGTGTGTGTCTTCATGCGGTGACATTAAAAGAAGGGTGCATGGGACCCTGGCTGGGGGGTCCTGTTCCTGCACAGTGGTAAAGTGACAGAGGACAGGACAGCAGAGGTATCCCAACCAACTGGGAGGACATCACTGTGTCTCTGACAGAAGCAGAGGAAGAGGAAACGGCTTTGCTGAGCACAGGTCTCTGGGTTTCCTGTTCTGACTCTAAACCCTCCCTCCATGTTCACAGGAATGTGGAAGTGAGATCTCCTACTGCTTCCTGTGGTGTCTCACAAGGTTTCACATCTCCTTTGACTGCTGGAGCAGAGAGCTGGACCTCAGAGGTGATTCCACTCAGCCTAGTGGCCACGCCACACCCATGAGAGTCCAGAAAGAGGCACAGCAGGGCTTCTCTAGGAGCAAGGGTAGGCAGGCACTCTGGGAAAGGGGTTGGGGCTGGGGAGCCACATTGTTTTGAAGCTGTCACAACAACAAGTAGAGGAGACAGCTGTTCCAGGAGCAGAGGAAACCCTGAGAAGGGGAGAGGTTGGCATAGACAGCAGCGGGGATAAGGGTGGGGGGTGAGGAAGGGGGCTCCTCTCTTCCTCCTTTCCCAGCCCAGGATGACGTGAGTGCGAGAGCATGTTTGTGATAAGTGTATGTGTGAGTGTGTGTCCCTGTGTGTGTGTGAATATATGGTGTATGTGTATATACTCGTGTGTATATGTATGTGTCTATGTGTATGTGTGTGAATGTGTATGTGGTCTGTGTGTGTGTGTGTGTGTATATACAAGTAGTTTAAGGAAAGGTGTTAAAACCTGTAAACTTGGGGTGTGAGCCTCCAGACTGTTTTTTGAGTCTGTGAAAGGAACCCTCAAAGCCATCTGAGGGGTGGGGTGAAGAGTCAATTTAAGTCTTTGTATGCATGAGGAGAAACTATCACTTGTCTGATTCACAGTTGGATGGAAGAGGCAATTAATTGCCTTTTAAAATCCATCCTGGCTTGTGTGAGGCCCTGAGTTGAATTCTAAGAACTGAAAGGAAAAAGTACAGTTGGTAAAGTACTGCATAGTGTGAGTGTCTGAGTCCAACCCCAGGACCCTCATTAAAAATAAGTAAATAAAAGCCAGATGTGCTAGGGAGGCGGGGCCTGTGGATCCCTTGGCTTCCAGGATAGCCCAGCCTACTTGGCAAGCTCCAGGCCAGTGAGAGACACTGTCTTAAACAACAGCATCCCACCAGGTAGGAGCTCTTCCTGTGGCCTTCATATGTATTTGCACACATGTGTGTGCATGCCTGTAGACACACAAGCACCCACATACAGGAACATGTGCACACACATGCAAAGTGTGTTCAATAGATGCTATCTTTTCCAGAAGAGTATGAGTGTGCCACATCTCACCATTGTTCCTTCATAATCTGGAGACCAGCTTGAGACAAACAGAGCTTCAGGAACACAATCGGGGAAGTTGAGAGCTTTGGGGGGGGGAGGGCGGAGTTTCCTGACCCCCAAGGAAGAAAAGGGAGCCTGATAAGCCGTCCCAGAGGGAGTGGGTTTCCAGACCCACTCCTGCCCTCTGAGGTGGATTGCTTCTGTCTTCACAGTCTTGCTTTGACACAGGCAACTTCCTTCCCCACAGCCCCACCTCTGCCACCAGTCTTCTGAGTGACAGGAGTTTATGCAGCACCTCCTAGGTGACCTCCCTTTCAGAGACAAAGAAGGTTGTCTAGCAATGGCCTTTTGGAAGGGCATGAAAGGAGAAAGTTAATTCAGTGGGCAGGTCAGGCTTGCATATCCTGGGAATACTTCAGAGACTACCTCCACAGACCTCAGGAAACCACCTACAGGCCTCTTTGCAAAGCCTAGAATGGGAGGAGGTTTACCTAGCAACTGATGATGCTAGGCTGAGACACTCAGTGATTGGTCTGACTTGCCTACCTAGCTAATCTGACAACTCTTCCTCTGGGACCCAGGATTTGGTTAGTAGTTTAGACTCTAAGGGGGGTTGAGTGACCTGGGGACACTTGTGCATCAAAAAACAGTGGTCCTGAGCAACAGGCACCCTGTTTTCCTCCGTGTGTGGAGACGTTTATCCAGGCTGGGTCAGGAGAGGCTTGGAGGCCCCTGCAAGATACAGTCCAGGGGCCTGACCTTCCTGCACCTTCACAGCGTGGGACATGGCGATGCTGCCACTCCTGCTGGGCCTCAGTCTGGGCTGTATGGGAGTAGGTAAGGAATCCCCTCTTGGGAACCTCTTCCCTCCCCCCCAACCCTCATCCCCTGCTGGACCCTCCCCCTGCTGCTGATTGGGGTAAAACACGTTCATTTTTTGCTAGCAGGTTTGAGTGCCCCAGAAGCGCCAGTCTCCCTCTGCGTGTGGCACTCCTTCAGCACTTTGGACTGTGTTGTTACAGCCGTTTTAATAATGAATCAGTTTTGTAGACTGTGAAGTGGATGTCCCTGCTGGGATGTAGGTTAGGACTGTGTACTGCTTCATCCTGGTTCCTAGCATGGAGCCCGGCATGTAGTAAGTGCTCTGTAGACTTGCACGGGGCCAAAAGTCAAGAATATTTCTAGCACAGAGCAAGGCTGACTCTTTCTTGACTCCATTTCCTTCTCTCTCTTTTCCCTTCCCCTTTGTCTGTCTGTCTGTCTCTTTTTTCTTTCATTGGAGAGAGTCACACTGTATAGCTAGACTAGCCTTGAACTCATGGCAATCCTCCTGCCTCAGTGCTTGCTTGACCCTTTATCTCCCTGTCAATAATGTGCTGCTCTGAAAGTCTGTTTGGGGTGGACATCCAGGCTTACCATGCAGGAGTCTGGGGCTGTCTTCTTTGGTCACTCAGCCTCACAGATAGAGGAACCAGTGCTAGCTGTTCTCAGTTTTGTGCACGAATTTCTAGCTCAATCTCAAACTGGATGCCTCTGCCGGATGTGAGAGTTAATCACCTTGTCTTATATTATATTGGTAGACAAGTGAGGTTGACTTTAAAATGTCTTTTTTTTGTTTTGTTTTGTTTTGTTTTTAGTTTGTTGTTTGGTTTGCTGTTGTTATATCAAGAAAGCCTGGTAATCTGATTGATTTAAATATATTGTTGTAAAACTTAATACCACTGCAGATGAAAAACAGTAGCCATATTTAGTTTCAGAGCCTGGAGATGTGGCTCAGCAGTTAAGAGAACTGGCTGCTCTTGCAGAGGACCCAGGTTCAGTTCCCAGAACTCACTGTGGTTCACCGTCATCTGTGACTCCAGGTCCAGAGGACCTGATTGCACCTGATGCTCCTTTTCTGGCCTTTGATGACACTGGGCTCAAACGTGGTGCACACATATGGGTGCTCCCACACACCCACACACATAAAACAAAATAAATAAATCTTTAAAAAGTAAATAGTCAAGTATCAAGCTGAAAATTCGAGGAAAGAATCTAAAAATGTCTCTGTTGCTGCCATTTCCCCCTTTCCTAAGGCTGTCAGAGTCCCCAGCCTGGCAGTGTGGTCAGCAGATGCTGCCTGAGATGGGGAACTCTTTGACTGCTGCAGTTTGGGCTCTCTGTTCAGTACAGAAAACAACAAACAAATAAAAACAAACCCAAGAATAACAACTCAGCACTCCTGTGATGGATGGGTCCTCTACCCCAATTCTCCTGGACTGGATAGACATCCTACAGTCTAATTCAGTGCTGACTCTAACAGAAGTTAACACAGGCCAGTTGACTGAAGGCTCAACCCCACGAGACAGTCTCCTGTCCACCGACAAGCTCAAGCAGTAAACTCAGGATCGCCCACAGCTGTCCAGCGTGGCTGAGATAGAGCCCCTTGGCTTGAATATAGAGAAGGAATACAATCTATGCAAATAGTTTATCATTGTTCATTAATTGTAAGGGTTTGTGTGTGTGTGCGTGCATGTATGCCTGCCCATCTGTGAGTTCACCACATCTGTGTGTGCCTGAGGAACCCAGAAGGGCATCAGACTCCCTGGAACTGGGGTGCTCCAGTCCAAACCCCATTCCTCTGCAAGGGCAGCACATGCTCTCAACCACTCAGCCACATCTCCAGCCCCACAGGGAATATTTGAAAGAATAAAGCTGGTGGGGCAGTCCAGGAAGAAGTCCAGACAGACCCCAGGTACAGTAGCTTCTGCCTCCATGGGGGTGGGGCATGCCCCCCCAGCATATAGACTGGGAAGGTGTCAGAACCCCACACTTTGGGTTTTTTAGGCTTCATCAAATAGACAGGATTTGTTTATTTATGTTTGGTTTTTCAAGAAGGGGTTTGATGGGAGATGTCATTCTGTAAATATGTTTCTCTTATTGGTTAATGAATAAAGCACTGTTGGCCAGTAGGAAAGCAAGGTAGGTGGGACTAGGAGACTAGGAGGAGAGAGGAAGAGGGAGGAGATTCAAGACTATAGGACAGGGAGAGTAGAATTCATGCCCCTCACTTCAGTAAGATAAGACCAAGTAGAAATACTTAGATTAATAGAAATGGGTTAACATTTAAGACAGAGCTAGCCAATAAGAAATGCTAGTAATAGGCCATCATCTTTGTAACTAATATAGCGTCTCTGTGTGTTATTTGGGGCTGGAGCGGCTGTGGGACTAGGCCGGTGGGAAAACATACTCATAACAAGAGTTTCTCTATATTGCTTTAGAGCCTGTCCTGGAACTTGCTCTGTACATCAGGCTGGCCCCGAACTCAGAGATCCTCCTGCCTCTGCTTCTTGAGGGCTGAGATTAAAGGTGTGAACCACCAGCACCCAGAAACAGGATTTATCCATTTATTTTAAGATTTATTTAATAATTATGTATACAGAGCAGGACTTATTTTTTAACCCAACCTCCTGTCCCCACCTGGCTGCTTCACAAGGGTGGAGATATGAGTCTTAGGCTTCTAATCTTGGCTCAGTCTCTCCACTGATATCCCCTTCCCAAACACGATCTTCAGATCATGTTTGACAGGGAGATAAAGTGTCAAGCAAGTGTGGTGGGCACAGGGGTAATCCCAGCACTGAGGCAGGAGTATTGCCACGAGTTCAAGGCTAGTCTGGCTATACAGTGTGACTCTCTCCAATGAAAGAAAAAAGAGACAGACAGATGGATAAAGGGGAAGGGAAAGGAGAGAGAAGGAAATGGAGTCAAAGAAAAAGAGTCAGCCTTGCTCTGTGCTGGAAATATTCTTGACTTTTGACCCTGTACAAGTCTACAGAGCACTTACTACATGCTGGGCACCATGCTAGGACCAAGATTTACCCCAGTAGAAGAAAACACCCTGCAGTTACCCAGTTCCTGGGGATTCAGAGCTCTGTCAGGAAACAAATTTAAAAAGCAGATATTAGGACAGAAAATGCATCTACTCCTTTTGCAGTCATGCCATGGGACAAGCAGACACTGATCCATCTTCCGTTTTCTGCACCCCCCCCCAGGTGGCTTTGTGGCTCATGTGGAAAGCACCTGCCTGCTGGATGACAGTGGGACCCCGAAGGACTTCACATACTGTATTGCCTTCAACAAAGACCTGCTGGCCTGCTGGGACCCAGAGGCAGGAAAAATAGTTCCCTGTGAATTTGGGGTGCTGTTTAAGTTGGCTGTATTAATTTCGGATAACCTCAACGAAAATAAGGCCCTGCTCTGGCGCTTGGGCAATGGGCTACAGGACTGTACCGCAAACACCAAGCCCTTCTGGGATGCGCTGACCCACAGAACCAGTGAGCAGAGGGGGTGCAGAGGGGCAATCTGGAAGCGTGGCCAGGGGGGCAGAGCACGAGTAGATTGTTGAGCATCAGAAGGGTTGATGCCTGAGCAGGAAGAAACAGTGTGTGGGCCTGGAATGTAGGAACTGGAAGGCCATCGAGGGGAACAGAGCAGTGGCTGATGCAGACGGAACAGAAGATGGAAGGGGCAAAGAGAAGGGGCTGACAGGAGGGCCACAAGCAGGAGCCACAGAGGCCGAAACCCTGTGACTTCCCCCAAAATGTACCTGTCTCTTATTTTTATTTATTTTAGTTAAAGAGTTCCCCCCCCCACTACTGGGGATTGAATGTGGGGCCTTGAACATACCTGACAAATGACACTCTACCACTGAGTTATGTCTTTGCCCCTTTCTCCTATTTGTCTCGAATCAGGGTCTCCCTAAGTTGCCCAAGCTGGCCTTGAACTTGCAACTCTCCTGTTTCAGCCTCCCAGTCAGCTGGGTTTACAGGCCTGGGTCCCCAGCCTGGCTTGTTCCTGGTTCTTTAGCTCAGATTTTGTTCTTCCATATTTGAAATGGGTGTAGATATGGGGACTTCTGGAGGTGTTCCAGGGATTCCAATGCCATCTGTCCTCTTCCCCAAATCCTTTACAATTGAGAATAACCCATGAGAACAGCTTAAAGTTTGTAAGCAGATTTTTAAGATCTCCATAGGTCAGAGTCCTTGGCTGAAAGTCACTGGGCACCACTTTAGACAGGGAGGCAATACTTTAGGTGAAGCCAAGGGAGTCTGTATTTTAACATAATTTCTTGGATTTTTGCTTAAGGCATTGCTCAAAAACTACTCTGATAGAGGCAAGCAGGGAGCCACTTGGGAGGATGAGCTGGTAGAAGGTGGCAGTCTTAAGTCTGTCACCTGCATGGCGGTACAGACCTGAGGTACCAGTACTTGGAGGGATGCAGGAGACCAGGAGTTAGGACCATCCCCAGCTACATAGTGAGTGTGAGGCCAGCCTGGGATATTATATGAGACACCATCTCAGAAAATACACAGATTCTGTCCAGACAGCTCATAGCCCAGATGGCATTTAGCCATTGTGATCAGACATGACTTGGGAGGAGAAAAGAAAGAGGGAGTGTGCATTCTGTTCTGTTTCCCTTTCACTCAGTGGCTGGAGAAGTCTTTGAAGGGATGAAAGGGGACTCCTTCAAACCATAACTGTTTCTCCCACACAGGACCACCATCTGTTCAAGTAGCCAAAACTATTCCTGTTAACACAAGGGAGCCTGTGATGCTGGCCTGCTATGTTTGGGGCTTCTACCCGGCAGATGTGACCATTACATGGATGAAGAATGGGAATTTTGTCATGCCCCACAACATCAAAGAGAATATTGCCCAGACCAATGGAGACTGGACGTACCAGACTGTCTCCTACCTAGCCTTAACCCCCACCTATGGGGACATCTACACCTGTGTGGTACAGCACAGTGGGACCTCTGAGCCAGTCCGTCAGGACTGGAGTAAGTGTATGGGAACATTGGTGGTTGGGAAAGGGACGTTGATATATTTGGCTGAGTGAGACATGGATGGATGCCTGTTATATGGTAGAGAAGGGAATGCTGGGATGGGAAGTTTGAGGGTTTGCAACCAGAGTTAAGGTCAAGAACTAAAGGATAGAAGCCATTTCTCTGCAACTGTGGCATGGATGTCTCCCATCTGTTTGAGGGAAAGAATAGAGGCTGATTGTCTCCCCCAAAGAATGTAGATCTGGTAGCATTTCCGGAACAAAGCTCTGGAATTTGCTGTTTTAGTTTTTCTAATATTCAGTCATCTCGTGAGGCCAGGATTGGGAATTGGAAATATAATGAAGACTGAAGAAGAATGGGATCTTCTCTCATTAGAGACAGGGCTGTGCTGAATTTGGCAACTTTTTTGAGCCTAAGGGAATAAATAAAGCCATGGCTGGTAGACACTTAAGTAGACATGTTAAGTTCTTGATAAAGTACTCATTGATACTGTATGAACCCTAGGACGGGGTACTTAAAGGTAACGAGAAGGTACATGCATAATGAGGGGGGCATACCGAGTTGGAGGTTACTGGAAAAGAAGAGAGGAAGAAATGAGGGGCTGGAGAGATGGATCAGAGATTAAGAGCACTGCTTGCTCTTCCAGAGATCTTGAGTTTAATTCTCAGCACCTACATGGAGACTTACAACCATCTGTAATGAGATCTTGTACCCTCTCCCAGCCTGCAGGGATACATGCAGACAGAGCACTCGTTCATAAAATAAATAAATAAACTTTAAAAAAAAAAAAACTAGGGAGGGGAAGGGCAGCTAGGAAAAGTCGGGGAGGAGGGGCCCACTCTGGCTGCGGAGCCAGGCCTTCCCTTGTGGGGAGTGTGTCTGCTGTTGGTTCTAGTTGGTTCCTGGGAGGGGACGGTGTCCTGGTTAGGGTCACTATTGCTGTGAGGAAACACAATGACCAAAAGCAAGTTGGGGAGGAAAGGGTTTGTTTGGCTCACCCTGGTCCATGGTTGAAGGACGACAGGAACTCATACAGATCAGGAGCCATGAAGGGGAGCTACTTACTGGTTTGTTCTCCATGGCTTGCTCAGCCTGCTTTCTTATAGAACTCAGGACCACCAGCCCAGCGATGGCCAGGCCCTCCCATATAAATCACTAATTAAAAAAATGCCCTACAGCCGAATCTTATAGAGGCCTTTTCTCAGTTGAGGTTGCCATTTCTCAAATGACTCTAGCCTGTGTCAAGTTGACACAAAATCAGCCATCACGGACGGGAAACAAGGGGAGAGTAGAACACACCTGCCCTTGAACTTTCCAGGGTTGGTCTTTCCTTTGTAGAGCATACAAGGGGTTCCTTTGGTGGTAGGATTCTCTTCTCATGTTGGGCTAAGAATCCAAGTGGGATATAGTTTAGAGTAGGATCAGCTCTGGCAAGCAGGATGGTGAAGGACCATAGGGTGGGTGTAACACGAAAAATAAAAGACCCAAAGACCAATATTGGGGTTCAAACTTTAAGCTGAATATCAGAAAAACAAAGCAGCCAGCCACTAGCTCTCACCTCTAGCTCAGGCTGAAAGGACCGATCCATGCACAAGCTCTTCACCAAGTCTCAAACTGTTGCCTCTCCTCAGTGTGGCTGGAGAACTAATGCATCTCTGAGACCTTGCTTCTGTCTTATATACTTCCCTGATGTCGGGACTAAAGGTGTAAGCTGTAATTCTCTTTTAGACTGATTTACTCTTGTGTAGAGCTGGATGGCCTTAGACTCATAGAGATCAGTCTATCTCTTAACCCTGAGTCATTTTAGGATTAAAGGTGTATACCACTACCTCCTAGCCTCTGGCTGCTAGGATTAAAGGTTTGTGCCTGGCTTCTATGGCCTGTGGTTGAATTTGCTTTCTGAACCCTCAGGCAAGCTTTAATACATCATAAATAATATCTCACCACAGGTGGGATGGAGGGAGATGTTTTTAACAGGAAACTGTTCAGAGTGAAGATGGGAGTTAACACTACTATAGGCCTGAGAGACCCACGGCTGCTGGGGAGGGTGCCCTGGGAGTAGAGGAGCCACAGAGAATGCCTTGAGAGCCCCTTCCCTGGGGATGGGGATAGGGTGGGGGCTCTGGAGGGCTGGGGCATGCAGAAACTGGGTGACTCTGGGAAGTTTCCCCAGGGCTTTTCGGGAAGTGGATGGTGTGGTTGAAGAGAGGCATTTTCTTGGGAGTGAGTTGGTAAGCCCCAGACCCTTTGGGCTGGGATAAAGACCTTTGACCCTTATAGGTGCAGGCTGAAGGAAATCGAGTGGCTTGAGCCTAAGCTGTAGACAATGGTTCTAAGAGATTTCCATTACTTTGCAGCAGTCGGACTGTCCCCCATCCAGACGGTGAAGGTGTCCGTGTCTGCCGTCACCCTGGGCCTGGGCTTCATCATCTTCTGTCTTGGCTTGTTCCACTGGCGGAAGTCTCGCTTCTCCAGTGAGTGATTGCTCCTGAGCCCTCCTCCTCCTTCTCACTTTCTGTCTGGGATCATTTCCCTCACTCCCAAGTCTTCTGTTGTAAGGAAATGCCACAAGGACCAGTCTAATTGGTGTCTTTCTCTTCTAGGTTATGTCCCTCTTCCTGGATCTACTTACCCAGCAGGTAACATTCCTGTTGGTCTCTAGCTCACAGGTCCTCAGAATGGATGGGGTGGGGTGTTCAGTTAATGGTCCTCACAGTAAGGACCATTTAACAAAGGGGGTGGGTTAACAAAGACATCACTCAAGCAAGCATCGATGGTTCTAGAGAGGGAAGTACCCCAGAGTACCCGAGGGAGGGGAGGGCTGGATGGAATGCCTTTGTCTTAGTGATTGGTAGCTGGGAATTTGCATTATCAGTGTCTGAAGGGCTCTGGCATCAGGTGGTGACACAGACAAACGTTGGGTCTGTGGGACACCACCTCTCTATTGTCTGCAGGACAGCACTAGAGGACAGAATCCCACACTGAGAAGGAGATCTTTGAGGATGCCTCCACGTACCCTCACGTCTTCTGGACACCCTGCTTTCTTGTGTCAGTTCCCCTTCCCCATGTAAATATTAGCAGTTTGGGGGGTGTTCATAATGACATCATTGTCCCAGGCTGTTTTCTGAGGTGAACAGATCTGAGGAAGAGTTCGAGACCCCCCCCCCAGAAGAGGGGGTTCAAGGTCCTCCAGAAGAGGGTGTTCAAGGCCTGCCAGTAGAGAGGGCCCGAAGCCTCCTGGAAGGCCCACTCCATCACTGAGGACAGTATGTTGTAAGTGATCATGCCTAAGAAATAAACTGGTGGAATTACTGGACTTCCTCAAATTTGTCCAGGGGCTTTGGAGGAGGGAAGGACTGTGGCAGAGTGTGGCTGAAGATGATTTCCTCCTGTGACATAGCCAGTGGTACCTCCTGATTTCCCACCTGCATGAAACAACTGGAGGCAGATTTTGAAATGATAATTTGCAAGGAGAAATTAAGCTGTAATGGGATAGAGTCAACATGTGAGGGATGGGGAGGGGCTAATAGCTCAACTCATAAGTAGCCTTTTGAAACTGCATTTTATTTACTCTGTGTGTATGTGCGTGTGTGCATACATGCATGAGTGCATGAGTGTGCATGTATGCATGTGTATGAGTGTGTGTACACACATATGTATGTGAGGGCCCTTGTCACTAGATGTCAAAGGACAGTTTGCTGGAGTGGGCTCTCTTTTCCCACTGTGTGGCTTCTAGGGGTTGAGCTAAGGTGGCTAGCCTGGCATCAGGTGCCTTCACTCACTTATCCACCTTGCCAGCCTGTAAGTGATCTTCTGAGGGTAAATGAGTTCATTCCTATAAAGAGCCAAGAATGCACCCAACATTCAGTGAGCCCACAATAGTGGCCTTTGTTGTTCCTGCTCAGGGCCCAGGTTGTTTCTCCCATAATGTAATAGGGAAGGGGTGATTGCATCTTTGGAGGAGAGGGGGCTGTCTGGTGATGTCTGTTTACCAGTGGAGATGCAGCTGTTGGTTTGTGGAGTTGCTTTTGGAATTAGAGTTGGGAAGCCAGCTGCCAGCAAGAAAAAGAAATGTGTGGCTGGAGAGATGGCTCAGTGGCTAAGAGCACGGGCTGCTCTTTCAGAGGACCCTGCTCAGTACAGATACATATGCAAGCAAAACACCCATACACAGGAAGGAATAAATTATTAGCAAAATCAAGAAAAGAAACCTAAGGAATGAATGAAAAGACGTAAGCCTGGAAGGAGTTTCACCCGACAGGATTGTGGCTGTAGGAGCAATGGACTGCGCTCACATTTGTGTGTGGGCAGCTATGTGGGAACTCTGGAGACCAGGGGCTGATGAGACAAACTGTGGACTCTCACCACGGCAGGTGTGAGTAGGAGGAGGTCTTGGGACTAGACCCCTTTGTCCTAGATGGTTTCCATGTATGTGAGGCTTGGGAGAGAGCGTGGTAGCCCTCAACATAAACCTTGACATCCAAAGTCACTGCATTTTCCCCAAACAATGATCCCTGCTCCAGCCACAGCTTTCTCAGGAGGACTCTGGTGATTAGGGTGTGGCTGCTGCTAAAAGATGGAGAAATCAAGGGGTGGAGAGCGCACTCATTAATTCAAATGGATTTGGGCAAGGCTCACAGAGGATGGCCGAGGAGGAGGGATGTGTGCTGGGGGAGGGGAGGTGGGAATTGAACCCAGGTCCTGTGGGAGAGCAGACAGTGATCTTAACTGCTGAGCCATCTCTCTGGCCCCCAGACACTTTGCTGTGACACTCCCACAGCCCCCCACACTCCCTCCCAGTTAGCCACTCATCCTGTGGTTGGCTTCATTTACTTCACTTTTACTCAAGGTTTGTATATACTTTTTATGAAGCACATACATTTTTCTCTCTTGTGTTTCCTTGCTCAGTGTGTGTGTGTGTGTGTGTGTGTGTGTGTGTGTGTGTGTGTGTAATGCAGATTCCTTACACTGAAGTGGGGTTCCTCACTCTCTTTTTTGGAACACCTCATCTATGTGGGGTTTCTAGTTTTTGTTTTCTTTGATCTCTTTCACTGCTCTGAGTTCAGAGTTTGCCTTTGCTATTCTTTTTCCTTTTTACTTTTGTTTTGATTTTTCGAGACAGGGTTTCTCTGTAGCTTTGGAACCTGTCCTGGAACTCACTCTGTAGATCAGGCTGGCCTCGAACTCACAGAGATCTACCTGCCTCTGCCTCCTGAGTGCCAGGACTAAAGGTGTGCGCCTCCGAAGCCTGGCTTGCTTTGCTATTCTTATCTTTCCTTTTCCTTCCTTCTCTGGCCTGCACAGTTCCTCTTCACCTGTGCTCAGCTCACGTGACTCTTAACTTTTATTTTATTTTGGTTCCTGATCATTGCATTTAAAGGTGACTATTTCCCTGTATGATCTGTGTCCACCATACCCACTGCAATGTCTTTCTGTCTTTTTTCTTTCCACAAGCCCCACATTTAGCAACAAAATTATGCTAAATTCTCATAGTAGTGTTTCAGTTTTTATTTATTGATAAGCAGTTTTTTAGTGTTTTAACTCAAAGATTTTGAACTTTTAATTTTGAAAAAAAAAAAAAACTTCAAACTTATAGAAAAGTTGTAACAAAACCAAGAAATCTTGGGTTGACTGATTTGACCTCTATACCACACACACACAAATCTTACTATACTTTATCCTGATTTAAATTCTGATCATTTTGCCTTGCTTTTAAAAATTGTTTTAAAAGATGTATTTATTTTATGTGTATGAATGTCTTGCCTGCATGTTGGCAACAGATATGAGTTGGGTCCTGTGCCATCTCTTCAAGTGGAAGTTGAATTCCTTCTGGAGCCTGGACCTCCCTTTGGCTCCCAATAATTCATTGGTTTATTCCAAGCTGGATTTCTGGATGCTGTTCTTTGTTCTCAGAATGTTTGCTGGCTAACATGCAGCCCCTTTCTCCTGCATGTCCTGTGGCTTCCCTTGGGTGTTACAGCCATGCTGCCTTTCAGCTCAGGAATTCTCTGAGTGCATCCTCATAGAGTCACCAGGTTCTCTACCATATTAGTCCATTGCTGGGTTAGAAGGAACCTCATTTGGCTTATCTGTGAAGACATGCCTGGTGTGATACCCCAGCGTCTTGGGCCCCTTCATGTTAATAGAATAAATTTAAGAAACAGTGAGAGGTTGACCTCTGTGTGAGCCCCCAGGAAGGTACTTCTACAAGCAGGGCATAGATCTAATGTGAAACACAAATCCTACCCACTAGCATACAGGGCTATGAGAACAGAGATTCAACCTTGAGGAAAATGCTTGGGTGGGGAAACACAGTTTGCTGCTGTGTAGATCAGGCTGGCCTCAAACTCAGAGATCCACCTGCCTCTGCCTCCTTAGTGCAGGGACTAAAGGTGTGAGCCACCACACCTGGCTCATATATATCTTAAAACATTTCTTTAATGTTAAAAAGCTTTTAAAAATTAAGCATCCCCGATGGTATATTTTCCTGTGTGGTAAGGGTGGTGATTGTGAGGCCTGTGGTGTTATGTCCCATTGCTAACCACAGTTTTGTTGTGGTTGTTGCTGACCAAAACCTCTTACTTTATTCAAAGCAAGTCTGCACGTTTGAAAATATTCAAATTCTCACCACCTCCCCAGTGGGGTCCCTTGTTGTCTACTATAAACACCTGGCTTAAAACACTTCCAGATTTTAGATGGACAGGGCCCTATTTTAGAGCTGCCTAGGGGAACCCCCAGGGAGGGTAACAACCTAAACTCCTAGAACCCAAACCAGTAATTCCTCCTATGAAAAAGTATTAACTATGTCCAGCTAATTGGATCGCTTTGTTCCTGCTGATATTAATAACGTTAAGATAATGTACACTTTACCAGTGAGGCCAAATGCCCTGAAACTCCAGGATGTGTCAGACACCTGTCTCCCTTGGAGAAACTTAAGCTCTGTTGACTGTTGTTAGCGAAGCCCCAAAATTCTGGGTCGACTCCCTTTACTGGAATTATACAAAACAACCACTCTCTAATGACAATGACAGAAACAGTCCTGGTGGGTTCACCAAAATTGGCCAAATGCTATCAGTGGATCCAAAGAAACCTTTCTCAGGGTGTATGTACAAGGCCAAATATACTTTTAAGAAATAGTTCATAAGACCAGAGAGATGGTAGAGTAGGCAAAGGCATTTGATCCCCAAGCCTGATGACCCGAGTTCCATCCCCAGGACTCTCAGGATGGAAGAGGGGGGTCAACTCCAGAAGTTGTCCCCTGGCATCCACCCACATACTGTATCAAGCATGTGTTAGCATGAATAGACTAATAATCTGTTTAAAGGGGCTACATTAGAAAGTGGAGGTAGCCTAAAGCTGGGGGTGGTGGCACACACTTTCAATCCCAGCATTGGGGAGGTAGAGGCAGCAGGATCTCTGAGTTTGAGGTTAGCCTGGTCTACTGAGAGAGTTCCAGGACAGCCTGGAGACCCTCAACCACTCGGCTACTTTGATTCTCCACTCCAGGTCTCATTTAGCCCAGGCTAGCATTTAAGTCTCTGTGTAGCAAAGATGACCCTGAACTCCTGATCCCATACCACATCTAGAGACCAAACCCAGAGCCTCCCGCACACCAGGAAAGCAGCCTGCCAACTGAGCCCCCTCCCTCCCTCACCTGACTTTTTTTTTTTTTTTTTTTTTTTTTTTTGCCTGCTCAGCTCCATTGCTTTCAGATTGTGAAGACACATTTTCCTGGCATTGTGGCCAGTTGCGTATAAACAGAAATTTTAACATCTCTTCTCAGACTCGTGTTTGTGTGTTCCCCACAGTGAGATCCAAACCCAGACTCCTGGAACTGGCTAGTGGTGTGAATAGAATTCATCAAGGGATATCTAGAGCTGCATTTGCTTGAGGATTATGGACACACACACACACACACACACACACACAGAGAGAGAGAGAGAGAGAGACAGAGAGACAGAGAGACAGAGACAGAGAGAGACAGAGAAAGACAGAAAGAATTAGAGAACACAGGGCCAATAGGCTCACAGAGGGAAAAGAGACACAAGACAGAACCCAGAAAACCACTTGGCTCAGGTCAGCTGCATTTCCTGGTCAGTCTTTGCTGACACCTACAGGCTACATCATGTTAATGGTTTTTTAAATGAAAATTTAACTTCTCCCTTTGTGGGATGCTGTTTCTGTGCTGTAGATCCTGCACCTCTGCAGCCCCAGGCTCAATAGGTATAAGACAAGGTTATTTGAATGTTTCAAGAAAAAAGATCACACCGTGTCAAAGATTCTGTAAGGTTGGCTCACTGATGGGAACTTCC